GCCAAGGAAGGGATGAATGTTCAATTTCAAGGGTTGGGCTGTGGAGGGTTACGGCAATCGAGTGGCAAGAAGGTGGCAGGGAGGTGGCAAGGAGGTGGCAAGGAGGTGATTCTGATCGTGGCGCTGGGATCTGGACTGGGGTTCTTGAGCTTATTGTCAATCTCTCATGTCACGACTCTCGAGCCGGACTATCAATCGGTCATACTTTGCCTTACCTCTTGCAATACACGCAACAGCGATTCTGCACGATACCTGAGCCTGAGTTCCATCACACATCCCGATCGATAAACAATGTAGCGTGCACCCCCCTTAATTCTCTATATCCTCATCTCAAACGCATAAGTCCCACGATCGAACGATATAACATTTCAAAGCAACCACGAAGCAAGAACAGTGAGAAGCCCAGCTGGCATAGTGAACTCTCTTTTCGAGGGAAATACTGAAGAACCTTAGCCTGGATCCCATCATACATCCCAATTGGTGAACACAGGAGCAAGCACTGATTCATTCTCAATATCGTCATCTCAAATGCGCAAGTGCAACGACTGAGCGATATCCCGGCTCGAAGCGACCACGAAGCAAAGATAGCAAAAAGCCAAGGCTAGCACAGGGAACTCTCTTCGAGGAAATACTGAAGAACATTGACCTTCTCAAAGAGCCATTGGTATAGGACTACTGAGAGGTCATGAAGAGGCCGTGAAGAGATGAAGAGGCCATTAATCCTGCCTTGAGAGACCATTAAGCGGTCATTAAGCGGTCATTGACCCGGTCATTAAGCAGTCATTGGGAAAGCGTCACTATGTACAGCCCGCTGATACAACTCAAATAGCCAGCTAGTCACCATGCATACCGAACTCTTCGATATCCAGACCTGTAGCAATACAGAACTTCACGTGTCTCATCGCTTGGACGTAATGAGTTCTTCTTAACACCAGCCTTACTCCCAACTACTGCAATGATGGTGGTACATTGGCGACATTGCACTGCTCAATACAATCCCTTCGAAGACAGTTAATTCTTTGTTCAAAGGCAATGTACAGCGCTCGTCCCACTGCGAAAACATCTCCTCTGTTCTGCTACATTCCGCAATCCTTTCATTCAACACTTGGCATGTTTTTTTTTGTCTAGAACTTACATCCTCGCTGGTATTACTTGTGTGGATTGATTGCTGTTTTGGGGGATTTGAGTTTATTGGAGTTCCTCGTTGTGGCAATAGCGTCCTGTTACGCCAGTCGGGAATTTGGGTCACTGCCAAACTGATTTTGTCTGATGGGCTCACATCCAACAGACATTGCCAGAGATGGAAGTAAGTGGAAAGTAAATGTTGTTTTTTGTTTATCACTCAATTGATGGCTGTGCTTCCCGGCGCCATGTTTCATCACTGATTTGACTGGGGTGAAAAAATCCTCACAAAGTATACGTATAGTCAGTCACACAGTATAGAGATCTCCTGCGAAAGTGTGAAAAAGACGACACAAGATCAGCATGAATGCAACATTTCCCAATCCTAATTCATTTTCGCTATATCTCTCTCATCGTAATCATCATCCCCCCAACCCCACCCATCCCCCAAAAAACTCCCTTTCCCACTTCCTCGGCACCCAGTCCCTCTACTTCGTAAGAGCACGCGCACACCCCAAATTATCAAACTCCGGAGAAATCCTCGTAGCAAGAAACGCCAGCGCCTCAACCGTAGGCGTAACAACCCCATTAAGCGTCGAAGGAATCTGTCCAGAAGCAAGCTGATACAACAAACAAGCCACCCCCGGAGCCGTAGGGTTCAATTCCAACTTCCCATCTTTAATAGCATTATAATTAATCGTAACAAAAGATCCATCACCGGTGTTCCCCCCAAAAGGAACCGGAGCAGCGAGATACATGGCGAGAATCTCCTTGGTTACATCCCCGTTACTATAAGGTTCCACGCGGTTGATGTAATTGGCGGGGAGGCGTTCGTCGATGAAGAAGCTGTTCATTGTTGCTTGGTCTGGACGGTAGCCATTGGAACCTGAGGGGAAGAGTTCGTAGAGGAAAGATGCGGCGCCGAAGAGGAGGAGGGATAAGGGACCGAAGAAGAAATTTGGGTTTTCGGATACGGATTGGTTCCAGCGTTCTCGACGGTAGATGGCGAGGTTTTCGCGGTTGAAATTTCCGGATGTGCTGGCGGACATCATGTTGAAGAGGGTGCGGTTGAAACTGAAGTTGTCGCCTCCGCCGGTCTGTGAGGTGGTTAGTCGATAATATTTRGAGAGTGGTGTGGGGGATGATGCTTACGAAGAAGTCGTTACGGGTTAGGGAGGTGTCTGCTTCGAATTTGTTGTGGCCTGCAAGACCGGGTTGCGATCCTGTCAGTGCTGGGGCGATACTGGTTCGAGTGGTGGCGTCGCATCCGAGAGAGAGCTTTTGAGTGACGAGGTCACCGTCGGCTTGGAGACCGAGGAAGGCTAAAAGGAGGGAGAGATCGTATCCGACGTTGTAGACATTCTGCTGAGCGTTGACGAGCTCGTTGAATGTGACGACACCATCACGGGCTAGAAAGCCGTGGTTCGCAGCGGTGTTCTTCACATTGTCAGCAAGGTATACAATGCACTGTATATGTATCACACTCACCAAGCCTGGACAAGGTCCACGGATATCTCGAGCAGTCGGGGCGATGAAGCGATGGACTTTATCCCCAGGAGCTGGGACTTGGTATCCTCCCTTCTCATTCCCCTTCTTGCCGTTCTTTGCGTTGTTGTATGGGAATTGGCTCGTCACTTCGGGTGCTGGGACATGGTTTGCGTTGAAAGGGCAGGTCTCGGCAGATCCTGGACCACCTGGCTCTGGATTTTGCTGGCGTGCGACAAGGGGTGCGGAGTTGACGCCGGGGACGTCGCGGACCCAGGGGAAGGCTACTGCTGCGTTTGCTGAAAGTAGCGACAAGGCGAGAGAGTACTTCATCTTGAGGGTGTAGAATGTGAAGATGTCTTGTTGGAGATTGTCGTTCTGCGATGGGTGGTGGTGCAAGGAAGGGATTTATAGACATGCTGATCACCCACTGACTTCATACCATCTCTCCAAAAGTCAGCTACGACTTGCCATGYTTACAAGAGTACACCGAGGCATCAGCCACAGTAAAAACAACAAGGCGTTCTTCTCCGCAGCGACAAGAAAGACTTGACGAGAGGCGATATTTGGCACTGCTTGACTGACTGTGCATGCAAATGTTCACCAGTGGTAGCTGTTTCGGGCAGGTCATTGTACGTGAGGCGCCGTATAGTTGGCGAGGTGGTGGTCAGCATCGTGGCAATTGGTCAGATCGTGTCCTTTAGTCCGCTATAGGTGGAGAGCTAGGAAGTTGGCGGAATTTGGCACCGCTTCAACCAGGTTCTGGGTCTCGCTTGGCCTCGTATTGCCTATGCTTGGCTGGGTGGAGGCGTACGGTAGCGTCCGTCTCGCTTGGCTGAAAGTCGGGTTTTGCGAACACACTGAGGATGTATATTTTACAGTGAAGTATTCAATAAATGGAAAAGGATTTGAACTAGCGGTGAATAGGGTGAATGCGATGCAATGCCATGTGCATACCACATGGTGTGTACGTGCGTTCGCATGGCGCCTTGAAAATTGCAAGGGAGTTGAAAGAGGAAGCCAAGGCGGCGATCAATGACGATCCGTTTTCGGGGGTGATCGACAGTGGAGAATGTGGAGTTGGCGCACACGCCACCGAGAAGATGAAGCGAGCAGACGGCAGCACTGCAATAACATCAACAACGAATCAAAACGACTTGCCTTGTGCTGACACCGAGGCATATAGCCACAACGCCATCTTCCGTTTTGCCCCTCTCTGGCTTCGTGGAGCTGCATGGTCGATGAGCGAGCGACACGTGGTGTTGTTTGCCTGGAGAATCGAGATCGATCTGTCCGTCCATCGCTCATCGACAGATCGATGGAGATTTCAATCACCGTCAGCAGGCCTTCTGGCAGCCTCGGAGGAAATATATGGGGAAACATGGTCTTGGGATGTCGTTACGGCGGTAAGGTACATGCTTGTCCTTTTTCCTGGGATTCCTGCTTCTTGGCAAGGCTGCACATCCGTTGCTGGCAAGTCTCGGCCATGTTTCCAGCGGACCGCCCTGTCACGGACAAGCAAGCAGATGGAGTCAAAGGTGCTGAGCGTTTGTGACAGTTAAAGAATGGAGGTGAGGTCTGTTTTGACTGTTTGAAGAATGGCACGATGATGCGTCCTCGTCTGTTGATCTCTGTCGGAATGCTGCTCTTCCGTGAAGTGTGTGCGAGCGCACAAAGAAGATCAAGGTCAGACTTCGACCATTTCACTACAACCTCGTGGACATCCTTCAGCTTTATTTCGACGGCACTTTTGCGAGGTCATGTCCATGCACATTACCTGTGTGCGATAGTACGCTTTCTCGACTCCTAAGACAGCTGGGCCCCTCCAGCAATATACTCTGAACAAGAACAGTCTCTGAAAATCGACTAGGCCGCTTGCCATTATCAAGAATACTGACTAAAGTCTCCTATCGACTAGTGTGCTTGTTGGTATGGTTAACTTGGTTGGTGGTGGTTAGTTGGTTAGTTGATGGTTAGTGTAGTTAGCTATTAATAGCCTGTTGGTTATAGTTGGTTAGAGGGTAGTTAGTTACCGGTAACTAATAGGGAACGCTTCCGATTAGCTCTATTTAGTGCGGAGGTCCGTATTATCTTTGTTCCGGCCTTCTTAAGTAAGTGATTATTATCTATATTATTATTAATTTAATGCTATTTAGCGGCTAGCCGGTTCTAAGTAAGGGCGTTACTAATTAAGTAACTCTTTACCCTCTAAACGATAGATACGACAAACTAAACCTACTAAACTACGTTACTATTCGAGGGTAGCGCTACCTACGCTAGCTTACTACTACTAGTAATAAGGACCTAAGGAAGCGTAAGAGCACGATATAGTAATACGGTAAGTAGTTAGTGTCCGAGAAGGATAGTATAAGTACGTACTACTACTATTACTACGAGCGTAAGGGTAAGAAGTAAACTCTACTAGTTCTAAACGGTAATTAAGGGCCGCTATACTACCTTCTTAGAGATTACGGTATTAATAAGGACGGTAATAACGTAGTTAAGCCGAAGGAGCTATTATCGTCGAAGGGCGGTATAGTATCTATACTATCGCTTATCTTAAGGAAGAGTTTAGAGCGTTTTAAGAGCCTACTTATTCGCTAGATTATATATTACTATATCTCTTTCCGTATGCTTAAGAACACGTACTTCCGCGCTCTTATATCGTTCTTAAACTCCGGCGTTAGTATATACTTACTACGTATAGCGTCGACGATTCGAGGATAGGTATTAGATAAATATAGGGCGCGGAAGGAGGCGATAGTTAAGGAGCTATATACGGCGCTAAGCGATATATATATATCGTTCGATAGCTAGACGAGTCTAAACGGCTACTCGATAGTTAGTATAAATGCGTAAGATCGGAAGAGCGTCGTGTAGGGCTAAACGGCTACTCGATAGTTAGTATAAAT